GATGGTAGGACTCCCAAGCTTTTCTTCTCACTTTGTAGGTCTTGCAACAGACATTTAATACTAATTCAGAAGTGATGTGATTATGAGGCTGAGATAATAACTCAGGTGGGCAGGATCATTGTGTTCAATGGTGTCAGCATGCTTGATCATCAGAGGAAGTCAGTTCTTTTAAGAAGTCGGTTAGTGTTAGAAGCATTAGAGCCTGAGGAAAACTTAGTGTCAGTTATGATAAGGCTAAGTTAGTCACTGCTTGCTTTTTGGCCTTATTTATGGACCATATGCCCCCTTTCACTCCTTCACGGACTAACTGAATAACTGCCCATAGTCTGATACCATCCATCTCCTTTGCTTTGATTGGATCAGTTCCCACTTGTTAACTTCCTTTAGAATGGTCAAGTCTTTTTTTTTTTTTTTTTTTTGGTCGGTAGTGAGGCTTGAACTCTGGGCTTGAGTGCTGTCCCTGCACTCTTCAGCTCAAGGCTAGTGCTCTATAGCTTGAGCCCCAGCACCACTTCCAGTTTTCTAGTGGTTTATTGGAGATAAGAGTATCACGGACTTTGCTGCCCACCTGGGCTGGCTGAAAACTTCGATCCTCAGATCTCAGCCTCCTGAGTAGCTAGGATTACAGGCGTGAGCCACCGTGGCTTCACTGTGGTCAAATCTTTTAATCCTTTTATTGCCTAATCTTTTCTTAAAGTGAGTCTTGTCAGCCTTTTTTTTTTTTTTTTTTTTTTTGGGTCCGGTCGTGGGACCTGTACTCTGGGCCTGGGCACTGTCCCTCAGCTATTCAGCCCAGGGCTAGTGCTCTACCACGTGAGCCACAGCGCCACTTCCAGCTTTTTTTCTTTTTGCTTATGTGGTGCTGAGGAATCGAACCCTCAGGCATGCAAGGCAAGCGCTCTACCGGGGCTGTTGGCTTGGTGGTGGTGGTGTTTGATGCCCTTGGTGAGATCAAGGCTAGGATTCTGCCACATAATCGAGGTAAGAGTCTCTTGGACTTTTCCTGCCTAGGCAGGCTCTGAATACTCAAGTCTCAGCCTCCTGAGTAGTTTAGGATTACAGATTTGAGCCACCAGTACGCAGTTTTATTGTAGTTGATTTTTAAATATACATAATGTTTGTTGATGGTCAATAAGTACTGCACATCTAGGTTGGTTTAATGTTGCACAGTTTTATTTATTTTTATTTTATTTTTTTGCCAGTCATGGTGCCTGAACTCTGGGCCTGGGCACTGTCCTTCAGCACTTCAGCTCAAGGCTAGTGCTCTACCACTTGAGCCACAGCACCACTTCCAGCCTTTTCTGCTTATGTGGTGCTGAGGAGTCGAACCCAGGGCCTCATGCATGCAAGGCAAGCACTCTACCACTGAGCCACCTTCCCAGCCCCTAATTTTGCACAGTTTTAAAAGCCAGTCACTTGTCACTATTAGTATAGAAGAATTCTTAGACAAATAGGGGAGAACATGAAATTGATGCTGGTAATTACTGATTTCTCAATTAGAAAAACTTCATTATTTCTTCTTCTTCTTCTTCTTCTTCTTCTTCTTCTTCTTCTTCTTCTTCTTCTTCTTCTTCTTCTTCTTCTTCTTCTTCTTCTTCTTCTTCTTCTTCTTCTTCTTCTTCCTCCTCCTCCTCCTCCTCCTCCTCCTCCTCCTCCTCCTCCTCCTCCTCCTCCTCCTCCTCCCCCCCTTCCTCCTCCCCCCCTTCCTCCTCCTCCCCTTCCTCCTCCTCCCCTTCCTCCTCCTCCTCCTCTTCCTCCTCCTCCTCCTCCTCTTCTTCCTCCTCCTCTTCTTCTTCCTCCTCTTCTTCCTCCTCCTCCTCCTCCTCCTCCTCCTCCTCCTTCTTCTTTTCCTTTCCTTTCCTTTCTTCCCTCCCTCCCCCTCTCTTTCTCTTTCTTTCTCTTCTCTTTCTCCTCCTCTCTTTCTCTCTTTTTCTCTCCCTCCCTCCCTTTCTTGTGATGTTCTTCAGCTCAAGGCTAGCACTCTACCACTGAGCCACCTTCCCAGCCCTAACTTTTTTACTACTTGGTTTTAGATATGAGAAATAGAACATGAAGTGGAACTGGAGCCTGGCTTAAGTGGTAGAGCTCCTACCTTGAGTGAAGAAGTGAAGCAAGAGCGTGAGGCCCTGAGTTCAAGCCCTGGTATTTTTTTTTTTTTTTTTAAGTATTTCTGGAAACCAAGCTAAAGAAGTGCAAATAGTGACAATTATATTAGTTACTTGCTACTTACTATAGAGCACACTATGTAATAATGAATACTGCAGTTGTTTAAGCCCAACAATTTCTATATATAGGAGCCAGGCATGGTGTCCCTGGACCTCACAAGCTGCAGTCAGCATTTCTCCTGGGATTATACTCATCTCAAAGTTGAGTGGGGAAGGATCTGCTTCCAAAGTCACATAGCTGGTTTCAGGATCCAGTTCTTCACAGACTTAGACTGAGGGACTCCATTCCTAATGAACGGTGTGTAGAGATCTTTTGGTTCCTTGCCAAATGGGCTTAGTGTAACACCTGTCTTCAAAGTGAGCAAGTTGGAGGGTAAAAGAACAATGTAAGCAAAGTAGTTGCCCTGTACTTCTGTAGCATACTCCTGTAACATCCCATCACATGCTTTATGTTGTTCTTTAGAAACAAGTCACTGGGTCCTGCTACAGTCAAAGGAATGAGATCTTTACCACACTTGTGTGTAGATAGGTGTGTTTTGGAGTAGAGAGAAGTTCTTGGTCCTGTGTAAGGCATGTAGGCATTTAAGGGGTAAGCCAAGTTTGTTCCTGTCTCTGCCCCAGTAACTTGATTCAGTTCTTTACCTTCCCAGTTTGCAGAGAGAGAACTTTGCAACTAACTCATGCTTGTCCCTAATCAGCATGTTGTCACCTTTCTCTTTCACCCCTTTTCTTTATCTGTTCTGAACTTGGCCTCTCAGCCCTGCTGGCTTCACTGATAATAAATAGTTGATCTTCTCACCACTGCTTTGGGAAAACATACAAGGTTCTGGCACTTTTGGAGCTGCTGCTAGCATCTGTTTAGGATTTATTGTTAATAGTGGAATAAATGATTGGCTTGTAGTAAGAGTCTTTTTTTCTTTTGATGCTGGTTCTGGGGTTTCAGCTCAAGGCTTGAGTGCTGTCCTTGAGCTTGCTCAAGGCTAGGTCTCTACCACTTGCCACAGCTTTCATTTCCAGCTTTTTGCTGGTTAATTGGAGATAACAGATGATTTTTTTTCCTGCCTGGGCTGGCTTTGAACTATGATCCTAAGATCTCAACTAGGATTACAGGCATGAGACACTAGCACCTGGCTGAAAACAAGAATTATTAGTTATATATTATGAGTTATATTAGTTTCTGTATTCCTTTTATGGTTCAACAATTATTTTGCCACAATATGATGTTATGGAATCCATTTATTGACAGCTCTCTTTGTGGCACACATTTATTATAGATACTCATTGATAATGTTTCTAATCATCACCACAACCTGAAAATTATTTCCTTCATCAGTAGGAAGAGAATGAGACTGAAGGGTGGTTAATAGTATCTTGTAGGGCACAGTAGCATGCTCTAGTCCAGTGCTTCCTGACTCCACTGCTTGCTTCTGGTCTGGCTGTCTATTTCACTTGCTTCCCTCCCCTTCCACAATTCCCTCCAGTTTGTAAGACACCAGAGTCCCTGACTATGAGTTGACTGCTGCTTATAATGGATCATCTTTGGGAACTTAGTATCTGTGCAGCTAAATGTCAGGGCAGGTGTTTTGCTAATGATATTGTTTGATTCGAAAAATAAGTTAAGGCCTGAAAAGTGTGTATTGAACTGCTCTGGTCCTGGTAGTCCATGAGATAGCTTTCTAGAGCTGTTTCTGTGGGCTCATTAAAATATTCTGAGAAACCTAAAAATTAGGTTTGGGAAGTCAGGACAATTTTAGTAGGCAAAGTTTAGTTTTCCTTTCATTATTATTGGGATATAGGTTCCAAACTGGAAAGTAAACTTCTATTGTCTAGGAGGAGAGCAAATGTCTTGGGTTTTCTGGTGTTTTTATCCTATGGCTGTGAGAAATTCAGTTCTTCAGTTGTGCCTTTTTATGCTCCAATGTAGTGTTTAAATACAGTCTCAAATGCCTTACTTTTCTGTATGAGTAATAGCTGTTTCAAAGAAAACAGAAGAAATAAGATGGGACATTTTAGTGAGTAAAGCTGGTAACCAGACCATACATGATGAAGTTCTCGCGGAAGTTTCCTTTGTGACCACAGCCATTGGTACTGTGAGCTAGTGCAAAACTATATATACAGCATTTTACTACAAGGATATTTATCATTTCTTTGGTTGAAATTAATGTTCTCATTGATTAGTTGCCTGCATTTCTAAAACATGGAATGATTTTGTGAAGTCACTTTAGTGGCACTACCAAGTGTTGTTAAAATAAGTGGAGGATTTTTATTTCTTTTCTAGTAATGAGCGAATGGCTTTTCGGTCTTCCCCCAAATCTTGCAAATAGGTTAGTGTTGTGGTAGAGAAATGTCTGGTTAATAGGATCTCTTGTGTATAAAGGAAGCTGTTTTTGCTTCTAGCACTCCATAGTTGGGATTTATAGCTCAGCTCATGTTTCAGTTTGAATAACTTTGGTAAAGTAGTACATGTAAAGGAAGAAGTGTTTACTAGTTGTAGGTACTTTTTCAGTAAGTCTTTTTAGCACAGCAGTTAATTATCATTAGTACCCTTCCCTCCTTAAAAATCTTGGCTTAGGTTAAGTGGATAATTCTAGATATGTATGGTGAGTCTGGTGAGCCTTTATTGGATAGTCTGTGTTTCCCTTTGCCGAAGGCCTCTTTGTGTCTTTTACCAAATAAATAATAGTGCTCTGACTAGGTGTGTAGTCAGAACACTTTGATTAAAGGACTTTTGGGACTGTGAGCATCTTCAGTACCCCTGTCTAAAAGAAAGTGTTGACTGCTGTACTTTCATCCTTTATGAATTCTTTAAAAGCATCTATTATTTTTAATTTGCAGCAGCTCTTGCCAGGTAAAAAGTTTTGGGAAACAGATGAATCCAGCAAAGATGGACCAAAAGGAATATTCCTGGGTGATCAATGGCGAGACAGTGCCTGGGGAACATCAGGTAATCTAGATCTAGCATCTGTACTGTGATTTATGCCTGTCTTAGAGCTCCTTTCCTCAGCACTTGGCAAAGTCATGATTTCCTATCAGTGACATAGCATGTCAAGCAAATGTCCTGTCCTATAATATAATTGCCATAAGGGAGCTTAATGATGCAGTATATTAAAACTTAATCAATACAAAATCAAATCTTCAGTATTTTCTAAGTGCTAGTCATAGAGAATTAGTCTTGTTTGAAATGACAATTTTAGCTGTAACTTTTTGTTCTGTACTGCTGTCAGCTTACTTGGAATTAGAAAATCCTTGCCTGCTATTTGAAGTTCATGTTTCCTTTTCTCCCCTTACCCTTGTATGCCATGTATGGGGTACTCTATCTTTAAGTGTGATTGGGGCCAAATCAAGTCACTGGACACAGCCACTTTGTGATAGACCTCCTCTGAAGAGAAATGAGGAGAACTTGTAGAGGCAGATATACTTGACAGCAGAAGGGAGCAAAGATGACAAAGAGTAAAAAGACAGAAAATCCAAAAGCTAATGTGCGTGCTGTATTATATAGCAAAGTTCGAGAATGAAACCTTAAGATGACTGAACCATCAGAAAAGATCAAATTATGTTGTTGCTTTTAAAAAGGGCATTAAAATTATATTTTATTTTAGTGATACTACAAATAAAAACTATTAAATTCTGCTATGTGAAAGGGATAAATGTTAATTTATGCACTTGGCTATAGAAACCAATTATGTAAACTATTGTATTTCTCTACCTTTGATAAATGAAGGGTGTGTTTCCTTTTCTTAGCTTTATGTAGACTATCAGTACTTAGTGAAAGACACAATAGGAAATTTGGGCTCATCTGGCCATGGCAGGTCTCCTGATTCCTACTTATTGCTTTATCCTTGAGACATCACTCATAATTTGTTTGGGCCTCTGGCTGCACTGTATCATGCTTGTGTATCTTTTTTGTAGATCATTCAGTTTCCCAGCCAATCATGGTGCAGAGAAGACCTGGTCAGAGTTTCCATGTGAACAGTGAGGTCAATTCTGTACTGTCCCCACGATCGGAGAGTGGGGGACTAGGCGTTAGCATGGTGGAGTATGTGTTGAGCTCATCCCCGGGCGATTCCTGTCTAAGAAAAGGAGGATTTGTAAGTTGTCTTGAGGAACTTGTTCCTATCTCTCTCTCTTCTTTCCCCCTAAAGCAATAAATGCCTGTTTAGTTTCGTTAGCTATTCATAGCACTCATTACAGGGTGTTTTTAAACACTTATTGCAAATGTAGCTCAGCAAATACAGTACATGTAAACTAAAGTTTAAATGTGGAGAAGTAGTGTTTTTTGGGGGACATAGTACTGTGAAGTAAAAAATGAAATCTAAATCTCAGTGTAGTTCACTGGTTGCTAGAAAACAGCATTCTTAGTTTAAAACAAAAACAATAGAGCAAACAAGGCATAGAATTAAAAGAAAGTCCAAACTGGGTATCAACAGGGAATTCCAGACCTGAGAATAATAATGTGCTAGTACCCAGGGAACCTTAAAATGGACCAGGTATGTGGGATCATTCTTGTTTTGTAGCTAGGCTTTAATTTAAAAAAAAAAATTAAAAAAATCACCTTTGGCCTTCCTAATAAAGCTTTGCTTCTCACACCTGGCCTGTTAGGTAATTAGAAATTCTATTAATTCTTTATCTATAGGGTTTGTTTGTTTGTTTTTAATTCCTTGTCACTGACCTCTATGTTAAATGTTACCCAGAGCAGTATTTACCTACTGCTGCTTCGTACTGAATCTTATTAGCCTTCCTCAAGCATCTTTGGTAATCTTTCTCAAAAGGATTTCTTTATGTCATCAACTTCCTAGCAATGGAAAGCTTCCTAATGTAGTATTTCATGACTACTTTGATGTTGTAATTCACAATTAGGAAGGCCATCAGATATCCTTAGAATGTCTTATATCTTATTTTTGTTCGAACTCACTTTGTGTTCTTTTTTTCCCTAAATTCATTTGGACCAATACCACCTGATGGTAAAAAGCATTTAAGAAAAAAAGATGTTCTTTCCCTCAAATCATACTAAAGACTTTGTGTCCGTAACTCTACACACGCACGCGCACCCCCTCAACCCCCAAACTCTCACACATATTCTTATCTATGGATTTATCTATCAAATTTATTACTTTTTTTTTTTGACACCTATTTCACACTGGTCCTGTTTTTGTACTTTCACTTAAAACTTACTCAAGTAACAGTAGTTTATATTTGGTGTAGCCTCCTGAAGTGTCAAATATACCTTTTGAGTTCTAGCCATTCTATAGCTTGACCTGATTGCTTCTTGGTCTTTTGATCCTGCAAAGACTTAGATCAGGCTTGGTGGCTTGTGGATCAAGTAGAAATCTGGTTTTTAATGTTCGAAACTTCCCAAGAGACTTATTGGGAAGAACATGAGCTACCCTTTGGATGTGAGGAATGAGTTCAGGGCAAATTATCATGTGCCTGCTGTATAACAGAAAGAATGGAATTACTTTTCTTACCTGATTCCCAGCTCACTCTTTCTTCCTCATCTTCCAAGAATCAATTCGTTTGAGGAAATACTGCCTTTAAAACACCATCTTTAGCTTTTGTTGGAGGAGAAAAATTAGTGTTTTGTATTAGTGAGTTGCTAGTGTGGTGATGAATGGGACCTTCTATGAACTGGCTGTGAACTATCTGATATGTATGTGACCAGTTTCTAGTTTGCGGACGTTAGCTAGGAGACATTTGCCTTATTACTGTGAGTTTCTGGAAGGCAGAAGAATCACTGGAATTATGAGGTTGATAAAATGGTGGAACTGAATTATTGCTAATATTTTGTTAAACATGCTTTCTAAATGATTCTAAATATGTTTGGATTTAGTATCTTGGATTTATTTTTGTAAAGGAGGGTTTCATATTTAGTTGTCACGTGAGATTGATAATTGTTACCTCTTTTATAGTATGTGTCCAGAGGAGATTAGGCCTCACAATTGGATTCTTCCTTGTCCCCCTGCCCCTACCATTTCGCTCCCCTGTGCTCCTCTCCACTACCCTCTCCTTCCCTCATTCTCTCTTTCTGTCCCCTGTGATACTGGGTATCAAACCTAGGGCTTGTATGTGCTTGGCAAACATTTTACCACTGGGCTACACTTGTAGTCTGGGATACTGGAGTTTTTGCTAAGCTTCTGAGATGAAATTTCTCCAAATCTATGTTCTAGTTTCTTCTTAGAAGGAAACTTTCAGATAGTGAAATGGTATCCTGTATTTGACTTTAGTTGTATCTATAGAGTGATAAAGGAAGCCTAACTGCTCAGTAACATCAGGCCTGTTGGCCTGTACGATCCTCTTGTGGATGAAGACCATTATGGATGAAGATCATTAAACTGTTCATTGGCTTTGGGGTTATATTCTGTTGATTTTATACCTAATGCTGCTTTACTTTGCCTGTTGGTTAGGTTGACACCTGGCTAAAGCTATGTTTATGGAAACCTGAGTCACTTTGTAGTTGTTTCTTTTGAAAACAAATCTAGTCTGTCACAATTTAGAAAAGAAAGACAATAAGGTGTCTGCTTGTGGTGGATAATTGCTCTAAAGAACACTGTTAGTTTGTGTGTTAGAGCATTCAGGTGTTTTAACTTTACTGCCAGTGCCTCCAGTAAGCTTGGGAACCTTGTGTTAATCTCCTGAGAGCTGAAACCATCACCTCTGGTGACATAGTGATTGTAGACCTCAAAGCAAGTACTAGAAGGTTACTTTCAGATAGGATAACAGATAGTCTAGACATTAGGCTTGTAACTAATATTTCCAGAGCTTTTCCATTTTTAATGAGGTTTTCTGGTTATAGGATGATTGAAAATATTTTAAGACTGACTCTGTGCCTTCTTGAGTTCACTTTGATTGTGTAAATGGCTTCTATGATAAGAATATGTTCATACTGATGAAGAATCTGGTTACCGTATTTTGTTTTTAGCACTTGTTGCAAATTTTTAGTGTTCTGCATATGAATCCCAACCACTAGAATAGCAGTTTTTAAAATAATGACAAAATAATGGCAACTATTTTTTTCCTTTTTTGTATTTTTAAATTTATTTATTCTTGGAGTAGCATAGATCTTTACCTCTCTTCCCCAACCCAGTTCAGAATGGTTACAAATTGAAATGGAATTAACTGAATTGTGGAGGCCCATGATGCCCAACAAAGGACCCTGCTGTTTTTCTGGAATAGAAGCCAAGCCTGCCAATAAATATAAACATATAGGATCAGAATTTTTACCTTAATAGTTTATAGTACCCAAAGAAATGAGACAGTTATTCATATTATGGTAAAGACTGTTCTAATCTTGTAGAAGAAAGATATTTAGAAAAATACCTTGAGGGCTGGGAATGTGGCTTAGTGGTAGAGTGCTTGCCTAGCATGCATGAAGCCCTGGGTTTGATTCCTCAGTACCACATAAACAGCAAAAGCTAGAAGGGGTGCTGTGGCTCAAGTGGTAGAGTGGTAGCCTTGAGCAGAAATAAGCTCAGAGACAGTGCCCAGGCCCTGAGGTCAAGCCCCAGGAAAGGCAAACCAAACCAGACAACACCTCCCCACCTCCCACCCCCCCAAAAACAAAAACAAAAAACAACCTTGAAAGATCTTTCTGTATTCTGTAGGAAGTATCTGCTTTCTGACCTGGTTATTAATTCATTTGGGTCACAAATCTTGATGGTTTTCTTTGCTAGACTTGCTGTATTATTTTAGATAATCAATGCTATGACTTTGATTTTTGTTGAAAAACTTTGGAAAATGTAATACAGATAGAAAATCAGGGGTTTGAATCTCAGCTGGACCTTAATTTCCTCATCTGAAAAAATCCTGTTAAGTCTTGCTCCTGGAAGTTAAAACATCAACATCAATATCATTAGCATTACCTGGGAGTCTTGTTAGAAATTGTTTTATGAGAGAGTATGTGTGTGTGCACATGCGTTTGTGCCCGTACTGGGGCTTAGCTTTTGTACTCAAGGCTGGCTCTCTACCACTTGAGCCACACATCCACTTTCAGCTTTTTGGTGTTTATTTGGAGATTAATCTGATGGACTCTTCTACCTGATCTGGCTTTGAACTGCAATTTTCAGATCTCGGCCTCTTAAGCAGCTAGGATTACAGGTGTGACCTACCAGAGCCCTGCTTAAAAGTGTATATTCTTAGGGTCCTTTAGACTTACAGAATCAAAATCAAAATCTGGCCTTTTGTTGGGGTGCTACATTTGTTGTTGTTTTTAAATTGACATTAGCACTTGAGGTCCTGGTTGTTTTTAAATTGACATTAGCACTTGAACTCAGGACCTCATGCTCAGTGTTGCTCTTCCACTTGGACCTCCAGTCCAGCAATTGGACATATTCTCTCAGACTTCTTTCTCTGACTAGGCTGGCCTTGAATTGTGATCCTCAGATCTCTCCATCTTCTGCATAGCTAGGATTAGCCACCAGTACCATGCTTCTTCTTCTTCTTCAAGAAGACAAAATAAGACAAGTAGTCACTATGTAGTCCAGACTGTCCTTAAATTCACAAGTTTCAGACTTCTAGTGCTAGCTTTATAGCCTGCATCACTGCGCCTGGCTCTTAAAACCTGCATTTTGAAAAGATATGCCTAATGATTTATGATTTATATTAAAGTTTGATAAGCACTCGACTAAGATATAATTTCCTTGGAAGACTGAATCATGAGGAAGCTATTAAAAACTTAAAACATAAATTTAGTTTTCAGATTTGAGCTTGTCTTAAATAATTCTACATGTTTTACTTTGTATGTAATATACAATTTTCAGCTGCTGATTAGATCACTTAAAACAATAACAGCCTTTTACAATTCCTTTACCATAAAAAGAAACAAACACTTCCTTTTGTTTTTCTTTTCTTCATGGGAATCACAGCAGATATGCCAACATTAGGAATTGTGGGCGATTCTGCACACAATGATACCCATTCAAATGAGTTCATGTCATACTTGAATTTCTAGTGTTTGCTTTTTGCTGTCATATAAATGATAGTATCTTAGACAGATGAAATTTAGTAGTAGCTTGATTTTATACATAGGTCAGAAAAACCAGTAGGGTCAAGAGTCTAATGATTAGAGTCTTAGGAATAAATAGGACTAGTTGTT